CACACCCTCCTCACTTCCGCCCCTCAGGGAACCACTGCCTGCCGGGTGGGCGTGCCTCAGGGCCCTTGTTGCTTGTTGTTGTGTGCCTTGAGTTGATTCCAACTCATAGCGACACTATAGGACAGAGTAGACCTGCCCCATAGGGCTTCCAAGGCTGTCATCTATAGGAAGCTGACTGTCATATTGTTCTCCCATGCAGCAGCTGGTGGGTTCGAAATGCCAACCTTTCGGTTAGCAGCCAAGCGCTTAACCATTGTGTCGCCAGGGCTTCTTTCCTTGCTGCCGCTGGGGTAGAATAAAAGGGTTGAGAACGAGCATTTGTCATGCTGCGGTCTCAGCCCCTGCTCTCCCAGGGGTGGGGAGTTGAGAATTGGAAACCCTAGCTCCGAGAGCAGGCTGCCTGATGAGAGCTGTGAGACCTGGCTCTCTACGCCCACATCAACCCTGCGGACCCGCACGGCACAGCTTTCTCCCATACATGAAGCCCAGGGAGATTGCTTCTGAGTGGAAGAGCTGACCCAGCGTGCCCCCAGGCCCGCCGTGCCCCCAGGCCGGCCGTGGGGCTCCCCAGTCCGGGCGGGGCTAGAGCTGGCACTTGATAACTGTCTGTTTATTGACTGGCCGTCCTCTTGCTGCATTCGCTGAAAAGGCTGCTGCTCTGGGCTGCTCAATGCCCCGTGGCAGCTAGGAAATGATCCTGATTGTAGGGCTGGGGAGGAACATCCGAGGTTAACACAACCCAGGAGGCCAGACCACCAGGTGGGTTCCACAAAGTGGGAAGTGAGGCTCCAAGAGGCCACAGCATCGGGGGACAGGACTCCTCCCACGTGTCACTGAGGATGGGCAGAGACCTGGAGTGGGGGTCAGGGCACCTTGGCTATCTCAGAAGTCACTGGGCCCCATTCTGAATGGCACCTCTGCTGCTGTCATCTTCTGGAGACTTTGCAGAGCTCAGAGCCACGCGTTCTTACTGCGGTGCTCCCAGCCCAACAAAGCCAACAGCCTCCTCAGATGTGCAGTTGGGAGCCAAGGACTAGAGAGGACAGAGTCACTGCGGACACCAGGAAGCCTGCTCGATGTTTGCGAGACCCCTTCTTTGAGGCTGTGTAAGGCAAGAAAGGGGCCATCTGCCTGACCACACGAGGGGACGAAAGATGGAAATGAGCGAGACAGAAGACCCTAAGTGGACCTGACATCACATCACCTCCACCTGAGTACCTGGCACCTAACAGGATCTGAACCTCCTCCCAGTTTCTCCCCTCCCCATCTGTACCCATCTCCAGGAATGGCACCACCATCCACCCAGTGGCTTAAGCCATAAACCTGGTGTTATGGATTGAATTGTGTCCCTCAAAAGATCTGTTGAAATCCTGACACCTGTACTTGTGAATGTGACCCTATTTGGGAAAATAAGGGTTTTCTTGGCAGATGTTATCAGTTAAATTAACAAGTTTATACCAGAGTAGGGTGGGTCCTAATCCTAATCCCTTCTAAGATGAGTCTTACAAAATAGGACAGACACTGAAATAGAGCAACACACGCAGGGAAAGACATGTGAAGATGCATCTCCAAACCAGTGAATGCCAAGAGATGCCTGGGGCCACAGACACTGAAAGGGGTAAGGAGGGATCTTCCCCTAGAGCCCGCAGAGACACAGCCTAACCCAGCCAGTGCCTGAAGTCAGACTCTCAGCCTCCAGAACCATGAGAGAACAATTCTGTAGTATTTTGTTACAGCAGCCCTTGGAAACTTGGAGAGTCACGATTGACTTCTTCTCCCACCTCGAACATCCAACCCACTACCAGAATCCCTTGCCATTGCATCGATCCCAACTCATATCGACTCTGTAGGACAGAGCGTTTCCCCCATAGCGTTTCCAAGACTGTAATATTTATGGAAGCAGAGTGCCACATTGTTCTCCCGCAAAGTGGCTGGTGGGTTCAAACTGCCAGCGGTTACGGTTAGCAGCTGAGCACTGTAACCACTGTGTCACCAGGAAGCCAATCCACTGCCAATTGGTTCCACCTCTGTTGTTGTTGTTGTTAGCTGCCACCAAGTCACCCCAACTCATGGTGACCCTGTGCACAACTGAACAAAATGCTGCCCCATCCCCATGATCGGTTGCCCATGAGACTTCGGTGAGTTATAGGGTTTCCATTACTGCTTTTCAAAAACAGATCTGTAGGCCTTTCTTCCTAGCCCAGTGTTAATCTGGAAGCTCTGCTGAAACCTGTTCAGCATCACAGCAACACATAAGCCTCCACCGACAGAGGGGCGGTGGCTGTGCATGTGAATTGAACCCAGGTCTCCTGCATGGAAGGTGAGAATTCTACCACTGAACCACCGCTGCCTCCTGGTTTTAACTCTCACGTACCGGAAATCTTCCTAGTTCTCTCCATCTCCACTGCCTCCTCCGCTCCCCGCCTGGCCCCCACCCCGGCCATCTGCGATGCCCCCCAGTCGGTCCTCCCACGTCCTCTCTTACCCTACTCCAATCCTTCCTACACACAGCAAACAGGGTGACCTCCTTATATTAATGCAGTGAATTATACTGATTGGTTTTTCAAATGTTAAACCACCCTTGAATACATGGAATAAATACTTCTTGGTTCTGATGTATTATCCTTTTTACATCGCTGGATTTGATTTACTAATATTTTGTTAAGGATTTTTGACCTTTTAAAAATGTAATTTGGATGATATAGTCATTCCCTGCTTAAACTATTCCGAGGCTTCACAATGCATGAAGAATAATTCCAAACTCTTGACCGTGAACCACGAGGCCTATAAGGCCCTACTAAGTCCTCGGGCCATTGTGGGTCTCTGGGGACATTGGCAGAGAATACCAGGACGGCTTCCTCTTCCTCGTGTTCTTCCCTAATTGTAATTGTAGCCATCTGTTCGTTTCCACGTGCACTGACCCTCTCTCCCCTAGTCTCTGCATTCCATGAGGGCAGGGGCCACGGCTGACTGTTCGATCATGACGCGTGCTCAATGCGCCCAGTACCGGGCGCACAATCTGGCCCTTCTGAATTAAAGAAGGAACGGACCCTCCACCTCCTCCGTGCTGACACCTGTGCAGCTGAACATGGCCGGTGGTAAACACACAACCATGCTGCCTAGTCTCACTTTAAATTCATCACCATGAACTTCAAGGGGGCCCTTAGTGCTGCCCCCCATCATACTCAACTTCCTGAGTCTAGTCACTCTCCTACTTCCTAGAGAATTATTTCATACTCTCTGCAACATCTCCTCCCCCACCTTCACTCTCAGCTGATGACCTTGCTTCCTACTTCACTAGGAAAACTGAAACAGTCGGGAGAGAAGTTCACCTACCAGCATCTGCGCCCACATACTCCGCCTTCCTGCCTGTTACCACAGATGAACTGCCATGCTCCTCTCTCAAGCCATTCCCTCTGTTTACGCCGTAGATCTTGATCCTACTTGCCTAAACAAGGACCAATACCAATTGTCGCTGAGTCAATTCCATCTCATGGCAACCCCATGTGTGTCAGAGAACTGTGTTCCACAGGGTTTTCAATGGCTAATTTTTTAGAATTAGATCACCAGGACTGTCTTCCAAAGCAGCTCTACATGGACTCGAACTCCAATCTTTCAGTTAGCTGCCAAGTGCATTAACGATTTGGACCACCCAGGGACTCCTAAACAAGGACATCACCCCGGAAATTCTCTCCTTTGCTCTATCATTAGTTTTTCACTTTCAACTGGATTTTCGATCAGCGCACAAATACAGTAACATCTGTTCTATCTTAAAAAAAAAAACAAAACACAAAGCAAAATGCCTTGTACCCACTCCCCTGCCAGCTACTGCCCTCTTACTTTGCTCGTCTTTGCAACAAAATTCCTCAAAAGAGTAACCTATCCCTGCTGCCTTCCATTTCACTCCTCCTCTCTTGAGCCTGCTCCAATCAGGGTTTCCACCCTTCCACTCCATTGACAACTGCCTTGTCAAGGTCACCAGCTGCCTTGCTAAATCCAATGGTAATTCTCAGTCCTCACTCACTTGCCCATTGGCAGCATTTCAAACAGCTGATCTCTTGCTCCTCCTTAATCCACTGCCTACACTTGGCTTCCAGGACGCCACACTCTTGGCTCTTGGCTTTCTTCCTACATCCCTGGTTCTCCTTCAGTCTCATTTGTGGGTGCCTCCTCTTCTCCCCAGCTTCTCAATGCTCAGTCCTCGGTCCTCTTCTCTTTATCTATACTTTCTCTCTTGGGATCTCAGCCAGCCTCATGGATTGAAACTCCATCTGGAGGCCAGTGGCTCCCACATTTATTTCCCCAGCCCAGATCCCTCTTTTGAACTCCATCCTTGTATATCCAACTGCCTGCTTGTCTGAGATATCTGATAGACAGTTCAAACTCAACATATCTAAACCTGAACTCCTTTTCTTGCTCCCAAGCCTGCACAACCTGCAGCCTTTCCCACCTGGGAGTATGCCAACTCCATCCTCCCAGTTGCTTAAGTCTAAAACCTGGGAGTCATCCTTGACTCTTTCTCTCACATCCCACATCCAATCCATAAGCAAGTCCTTTGGCTCTATCTTCAAAATATAGCCAGCCTTTGAAGAAATCATGGTAGACTTATACAACGGAATTCTACACAGCAATAAAAAAATAAAAAATAAATCTACTGCTTCACTCAGTAACAGGGATGAATCTCAGACATAATCTTGAGCTTCAGAAGCCAGACAAGACAGTGCGTACTGCTTGATTTCATTTAAAAAGTTCAAGACCAGACAAAATAATTTAGGGGATAAAGGTCAGAATGGTGGATACCTTTGGGAGAGTACTTCTTGGGAGGGGCACGAGGGAGTGCTGAAAATGTTCTAAACATCAATCTAGGCAACGGTTACATAGATGTGTACATTCGTAAAAAATTATTGAGCTAGATGCTTACGATTTATCCACCTTAATCTATGAAAATTTTACCTCAAGCAAAAGGAAATAAAAAGTTAAGATTTAAAAACGCACATACAACGCATCTGCCTGACAGACCTGGAGCAGTTAATGTCAGCTTCTAAGATGCAAGAAGAGGGTTTCCTTGAGCTTTCTGTCTGCCTGCTTGTGGCAGCCAAGACTGAATGGGGGAATACAGGAATGACTAAAAATGGGGGAGGGGAAGGGGGATACTTTATTTTTGCAACTCAGAAATAACCTTGTAAACAGTGAAGAACCTGTTTTACTCCACAAAAGGAATCTTAAAATTTGAGTTTACATGAGAAAAAAAGAGAATGCACATCAGAATTAATCACTTTTTACACCTCCTCCGCTACTGAAGCCACCCTCTTTTCTTGCCTGCAGAAAGTTCCTAATTAATCCCCTCCTTCCACCCTTTCCCCCTACAGCATATTCTCTACCCAAGAGCCACAGGGATCCCTTAAAACCTAAATCAGGTCATGTTACTCCTCCGCTAAAGCTAAAGCCCTTCCAGTGGCCTTCAAGGCCAAGCTTGGAAGCAGTTCCTTCCAGTTCAAACCCCCTGCTGAGAATTTGCATTTCTAACAAGTTCCAAACCTACTGCCATCCAGTCTACTCCTGCGACCCTACAGGGCAGAGTAGAACTGCCCGCAGGGGTTCCAAGCTGTAATCTTTACGGAAGCAGACTGCCACATCTTTCTCCCACATAGGGGCTGGTGGGTTCCAACCACTGACCTTTCAGTTAGCAGCCAAGTGCTTTAACCACTGCACCACCAGAGCTCCTTACTAGTAGAGCAGTGGTTCTCAAAATTTATTATACATAAGAATCACCAGGGGATCGTGTTAAAATGTAGATTCTGATTTAGTATACCTAAGGTGGAAACACAAATTCTCAGCAGAGGTCCGAAGCCTTTTATAGAACGAACCAGTTCGAAGTCCTGCTTCAAGTCCCTACAAGGGCCAGCAACCTGTTATCTTTTCAGCTGTACCATTGGACCACACTCTCCCTTATCACAGGCCTTCTAGCTAGTCCCCAAACACTTCAGGGTTGTTCCTGCCCTGAGGCCTTCACTCTGGTTCCTTCCTCTGCAGGGTGTGTTCTCCCAATACATGCATGGTCTAGTCCCTCCTCTGCAAGGTTTTGCTCAGACATCATCTTTTTTTTTTTTTTTTTTTAATTGTTGGGCTTTAAGTGAAAGTTTACAATTCAAGTTAGTCTCTCATACAAGAATTTATACATACCTTGTTTTGTGACCCTACTTGCTCTCCTTATACTGTGACAGCACACTCTTCCTTTCTACCCTAGATTTCCCGTGTCCATTCAACCAGCTCCTGACCCTCTCTGCCTTCTCATCTCACCTCTGGACGGGAGCTGCCCATTTAGTCTCATGTATCTACTTGAGTTAAGAAGCACACTCTTCATGAGTATCATTTTACGTCCCAGAGTCCAGTCAGACGTCATCTTCTTGATGAAGCCTCACTGATCCCCACTATTTAAAATTGCAACACTTTCTCCCCCCACCCTCCCCCATTCTGGCATTCCCAATCCATTTACCTTGCTCTTTTTTTCTGCTTTCAATAGTATATTTCACCTTTTAATACTCTGCATAATTTACATATCGTGTTTATTATTTAGCATCGGTCCTCTAACCCATTAGAATGCAGGCTCCTCAAGGGTCTTTGTTTTGTTAATAAATATATTCCAAGAATCCATAACAGTGCCTGGCACATGTGAGGCACTCAGTAAGTATTTGTTGAATGAATTAATGAATTAAAAAAAAAAAACCCATTGCCGTCAATTTGATTCCGACTCATAGTGACCATCTATATTACGGCTGTGGTGGGGACAAGCCAGTTGCCTTCTGCCCCCAAAGGACACAGAAGTTCTGGAGGTAGGTGGCAAGAAGCCAGCCCCAAGGGGCCTGCTGCCGCATGACCTGGGGTGAGAGAGTGAGTATGGAGTAGGGTCCAGCTGTCCAGCCCAAGCAATGCCAGGTGTCAGGGACCAGCCTCCTGCCACCCCAGCTCCCACCCCAGCTATGTTAGGAGTTTCTCCCTTAGTTACCTTGGTCTCTAGGAATCCACAGTCTCAGCAATGGCCAAGAGCTTCCAGACAGAGGCAGAGACCGGATCAGCCAGTCCACCTCTGTATCCTCAGGTCCAGCACAGTGTCTGGCACATAGCAGTTGCTCAAAGCAGGTTTATGAAATAGGTAAGTGGATGTTGCCAGCCCCATCCCCACACTTCTCTGCAAGCCTGCTAGGGGAACAGCCACCAGGGTGAGGAGCAATGCAGGAGAAGGTGCCCCGATTTCCTGTTCTCTGGGGTCAGAGAAAATCCTGGCCAGCTGCCCCCATTCTCCTGACCACCCCCAAGCCAGTATTTCCAAGGACGTGGACGCCAAGGCCCACCCACCTGCCTTCCCTTCTTCTCCCCATCCCCACCACCCTCTCCCCCAGCCTTTTCTTTGTTCCACAGCAGCTGGGAGGCTCTTCTGGGCTTTACTGAGGGGTGCTGAAGCTGAAGCCGTGATTCATGCCGCCCAAGGAGCTGTGTCTCTCAGCCTCCTGCCTCTCTATTTGTGCGCTGTGCCCACTCTGCCAAATAGGGCCAACCAAGAAGTACCACCTACCCACCAAGCTCTCATCCTGGAGCTGCTCTCCTCACCAAGACACAACGAAACAGGACTCCCAGGCCTCAGGGAATAGTGACTGGTCAGTAAGGATGAGACCTGGGGCCCATAAAGTCCTGCCCTCCCAAGCCAGAAGGGTACATGAGCTGAGGAGTGCCAGACGCAGCTCTGGGAATTCACAAGGTCGGCAAAACTGGGGCAAAGAGGGGAGTTGGAATAAAAGCAGTTGGGAAATACTTAACCTCATAAGAAAATTCTTACAGATAGAGACTGTGCTGTTTACCAGGAGGTACGACCCTATGAACATGTGAACTGTGGGTATCATTACGTGCTATTTGCAAGAACAAAAAATTGGTAACAGTCTAAATGCCCAATATAAATAAAACGTGATAGCCAAATTTTCTTTTACTCCCAATGTTTATGCAGGCCTACTTTGTGCCGGCCATGGGGGTACATGGGTATGAAGGCCAGTGTGGTCTGGCTGGCCCTGTCGGCACTTACCAAGCCCAGAAAGACAGACATTCAGTAGAAAGCTACCCTGGCAATGAGTGATGTGGAAGAAGCAGATCCTACCTGAGCACCTAACAGAGGAAACTAATTTGGGCCAAGTGAGGAGCAGGGAGGGGTTCAGGGAAGTCTCCCCAAGGAGGGGCTATTTTAGCTGAAAGCTAAAAGATGAGTAGCATACAATCCCATACTATGCCATCATAAACAGTCCTTACACAGTAATGTCTACGGACTTGAGGAAACACGTGTAACATTAAGTGAATAAAATGGGATATAAACCCATTGCCATCGAGTCGATTCTGACTCATAGCGACTCTATAGGACAAAGTAGAACGGCCCCATAGGGTTTCCAAGGCTGTAAATCTTTACAGAAGCAGATTGCCACATCTTTCTCCTATGGAGCAGCTGGTGGATTCGAACCGCTGACCTTTCAGTTAGCAGCCAAGCGCTTAACCACTGTGCCAACAGGGCTCCTAAAATGGTATATAGTGCCGTGTATATATAGATTCTCTTAACCATGTAAAAATAATTCATCTCTCTCTCTCTCTACATATATATATATATATATATTTGGAAAATTTTTCTGGAACTCCAAATGTTCACAGCAGTAGCTGTTAAGTGGTGAAATTGCTGGTGATTTTATCATCTGTATTCTTTCTTATATTTTTCAAATTTTTAACAATAAACATGGATTGCTTTTATGCTCAGAAGTTAACATCAAATGTCAGGGTATGGATTCCACTCCAGTGACCCCCAGCATCTTGGCCATTCCCGCGCTACCAAGAAGTGTTAACACCTAGGCAGTTTGCTTCTAACATACACTGAGACTTCCTGGAAACCATTCCAACGCCAGCTGGGCGAATCTTTCATCCTTCAAACTAATCTATATCCTTCTACAACCCCCTGGCTAGACACACTCTTTAGCAGAACCGATCCTAAAGGCTATCTCTAATTCAAACAAATTATTTTTAAAACACAAAGCTACTCCCCCTCTAAACTAATTTGTTGGCTTAAACTGTCCAGGCTGCGTTTTTCTTCTCTGTTCCTTGAGAAAATCCTGCTCTAGGCTTTTGCATCAGAAGTGGGGAGGCAGGAGGCAGGGGTCAGAGGAAGGAAGGGCTCAGGGCTGAGTGACAGTAACCATGAACCAACATGCACCCTCCCTGGGCCTCGGTTTCCTCATCTGCAAGCGAAATGGGGCGAGGCTTCCAGGCTTCCTCCGGCTCCTCTCCTGCCTCGGACACTCTAGTCCTATGACTAACGCCTCCTTAGACAGAGGATCTGGAGATGGCCTACCTCTCCTGAAAGCAGATAGCGGGACTAGAGAGCAATTGTTCTGGGGTAGTTGCAGAGAACTGCCCAGCTAACCAGAGTGGGGACGGCTAAATGGATGCCCTAAAGTCGAACATGCCCTAATCCAACAGCTTTCTCTCCCTGCCCCAGCTCTGGCCCCGCGTACCAGGCCTCCCCCACTCCCTCTGTGCTTTCCCGAGCCTGGCAGCCCAGCTGGGCAGGCTTCCAGTTATGGACAGAGGCAGGCCTGCCGGCGCTCCACTGCCCACTGGTGGGAAGGTGCCCCGACTGGGCAGGGAAGAGGAGCCGCAGGCGTGGGCTGAGAGCAGTACAGAGGTCATTGGCAAAGATCAGAGGAGAAAAGTCACCCCACTGACAGCCTTAGGGAGACTCCTCCATAAATCCTATAGCTTCCGGGACGTGACTCAAGATGCATATGGCTTCTTGGTTTAAAACCAAAACCAAAACCAAACCCATTGCCTTTGAGTTGATGCCAACTCAGCTTGAGACATCAGCTAAACAGCCCTGGATTCAAATCCGGGCTCTGCTCCTGACAAGCTGTTTGTCTAGGTAAATTATTGAACCTCTCTGAGCCTCAGACTTCAGTTCATCTATAGAATTATTTATGGAATGGGGATAACAACAACCTCTACCAGGAGACACTGTGAGCATTAAATGAGATAAAGCATATAAAACACACAGCATCCTGCCTAGCACACAATCAGCGGAGTTAAAAAAACACAACACAACAAAACCGTCCCAAGATCCCAGCAAAGTACTTGTAGGAACCATAATAAGAAAGAACCACAGTGTTAGAGCTGAAAGGAACCTCAAAGACCTCAAATCCAATCCCTTCCTTTGTTTAACCAATAAAGAAAGAAAAAGGCTCAGAGAGGTCAAATAACTTGTCCAAGGTTGCACAGCTAGTTAGCGACAGAGTAGAATTCAAAGTCAGGTCTGTCTGACTCCCAAACGCCTGCCACCCCTTCACCACACCCCAACTCATCTGTCCATAGACACCCCTTGTTAGGGTTTCCTTTCCACAGAGAGGATTTTAGGCAGGGAGCCCCTGTTGGCACTCCTCCACACAACCTGCCCCCTGGAGTGGGCATCAAATTGCCACAAGCCTGTGGAGGTGTCATGCAAATGACATGCAAAATACATGTAAATGACCACAGGTTATTGATGAATCAACAATTTGCGTTTTTATTATATGTAACTAGATCACACTACATGATGTGAATCGCTTTTCTCTCTTGGTCTTCTGCCAAGTAGGAGGAAATAAAATTTGTGGTTGACTGACCAGCCCTCCGCCCAAACCATGCCTGGCCTGGTGCAGGCCTGAGCTGAATCCTGCCATCTGGACACCCAATACATGCCTCATACTTAGTCAATATTACTCCCTGGAGCCCAGGACACAGCTGCCTTGGACTGGCTCGTCTGGGCAGTGAGCAGGGTGTCTGGGCACCTCTAGCTGAGAAGTGTTCCCACAGACACAGCCACCCACTGATTCCAGCTGGTCAGAAGGGAGCAGAGCATGCTGTTCCTCCTGCCGGGGGACCTGGGCAGTGACGAGAACAGGCCCAGAGAGGCCCATCACCAAAGCCCAGCTTCTGTGTCCTGCTTCAGGAACTGGGCCCCAGCAGCCTTTTTCTGACTCACGGCCTGCTGGTGTGAGGCTCTGAAGGAGCCACATCTGAGCTGACAGGGGCAGCTGTAGCCAGGGCCATGAGGGAGAAGGGGAGATGGGTCTGGTCCACAGGAAGACGGTGAGAGGTTGGACATCTGGAAGGCCTTCCTGAGGCTCAACCATATGAGCTCTGGAAACTCCTCCAGCTCCATCCAGTCAATGTTCCCTGAGTGTCTGCTGTGTATGTGCCAGGCACTGTGCTGGGCATTGTGGAGAATTGTGGAAACAAACAAGAGGTAGTCACTGCCTGGTCACTCTCCCTGAGGCAACAACAGTTCCACCAGGACAGAGGAAACATGACAAACGAAGCCTAACAGGACTTCGCCTTCCTGGAAGTGTTATGTGTGTGTGCGTGTTGCCTGTATAAGAGCACGAGCGTGTGTTTGTGTAGGGGGTGAGGGACACATAGGACTTTCCCATCCAGCCCCACTTGGAGCTCTGTGTTAATAATGATAATAAAACTACAAACATAAACCTACTGTTTACCGATTGCTTATTAAGTGCTTTGTATGTACGAGTTCATTATATTCTTCCAGTAACCCTAGAAAGTAAGTACTATTATTAGCTCCCCCTTTTACAGAGGAGGAAACTAAAGCTTAAATTTAGAGATTAGGTAAGTGACTTTCCCAAGGTCACACAGCTAGAAATTCATAACAAGGACTTTTTATAACAAGCTAGTTTTACTAGCTTCTGTACATTAAATTCATAACATGCCATTATTACTAGCTTCTGTACATTACATTCATAACACGCCAGTATTGCTAGCTTCTGTGCATATCCTGCCTCTTTCCTCAGAAGAACCCTCAGCTGGTGGAGACAGGAGCAAAGAGCAACAGGGGTTGCCTCCTGAGGAATGAGCCTGTTGCTCCTGCCAGCTTAGCCATCTCACCCCACCCAGCAGGAAGGCACATCCTACATGCCGTGACCTCCGTCACATCACGACCTGGCCTCTGGCTCACCTCAGCACCCACTCAGCAGACAGATTTTCTTGAGCAGCCTTCCCGTATCTCCACATCTGCGAGAGTTTCCTAATGTGGCAACACTTGGTTATAACAGCCGGGCTCGGAGGCCCAGCCCATCCTAATGGGTTGAGACCAGCTTCATCTGCAACAATGACCTGGCGCTAATGGCAGCCGCCACACATGTGCCACGTGCACAAGGGCCGCAGGGGCTGAACTGAGGGATTCTGGGCTGCCTCCCCCCGGTATTTCCTTCTCCCCTGAGCTGCAGCCTTCAGCCCACCTTCCCTGGGAGGCAGGAGTTTGTGAGGGAGGTAGAGGAACCCAGGAACCAGCATAGAGATGCTGGGGGAATCAGGAAGGCAGGCAGGCAGTGGAATCAAGGCCCTGCTCCCAGCCAGCTTCAGGGGACCCTCTGGGTCTTAAGTTTCCCTTTACCAGCTCCTGTTCCACCTCACGGTGAGAACAGAAAAACAGTGCACGAGAATGGGTTTTGAGAAGTTACATGCACACAAATGTAATGCAAAGGGGAGAACCATGGGTGCCGAGGCCTGCCCGGGAAGGCAGCCAAGTGAGGCCAGGGGCCCGTGTCCCAGATATGGAAACTAGGCCCGGGTTGGCAGGTGCCGGACATGGTCAGAGCTCCCCAACAGAAAGGGAATCTACTGATGACAAGAGTTTAAAGAGGGCATGGGCACGCTGGACAAGAGTGTCCCTTCAGGGCCAGTCCCTGGCAGTGCGCCTAGGCACTCACTGGCACTTGGTGGCCCAGGCACTGCCTGGTAATGAGATTATGGCCTGGCAGGCCTGGGCTGGGAGCTCCAGTGTGCACTAGGCACCCGTACTGACGACCGAGGGCACCAGCCACCAGCCCCAGTGCTGCCTGGGAGCAGAAAGCACCTCTCCTGTGACGGGCAAAGCCACACAAGGTTTTGCAAGAGAAACAGGAACATTAAGGACAGGTGCCAGCACTGCACCCTCCTCCTGCCTGCAGCAGAGATCCTGTAAGTGGGAGTTGGGCAGAGGCAATCAGAGCACTTGAGTTCAGCAGGTAGCTCCAGAGGGTGGGGCCGGCTGACACAGAGATACCAGAGAAGAAGAAAGTGAAAGAGTGTCTTCAGGAAGCCTGCCCAGATCTGGCTGGGGAGCAGCACTCCCAATGTGCCCCCCTCAGCTCATTCTCACTGCCCCAGCTATCTGCTCTGCCCCTTTCTGCTTCCCTGTGGACTGGTGGAGCTCATCTCGTTCCCACTCAGCACTCACTGGGACCCTGTCTTGGTGGCCCCTTCAAACCCACCACCAACCACCCCAGGCCTGACAGGCAGCTTCAGGTTCCCTGATCATGTCAGGAGAACAGCAGCAGTGTCCACTCTGGGGTCCTGGACAGTGCCAGGTTCACCGTCCTTCAGCCACCCAGCCCCCTCCTGCTTCTCCAACTGCAGCTCAGCCTGGCCCTGCAGGGCAGATGACAGGAAGGCAGCGTGAGGACTGGGCACAGTGTCCCCAGAATGCTGGGCTTACTGGGGTCTCACAGTCTACCTTTCATCCTCTCTACATGGCCCTCAAGGCCACTAGCACGGGGGTGTGGGCACCTTCCACTGCCGTGGACTCACCGGAGCGGGATCTTGACGCGGAGGTAGCGGTCCACGGCAATTGCCAGCAGGGCCAGGATGGAGCTCTGGGTGAGGATGAGGACAGGACAGGCGAACATGAGGCAGGTGTGGAAGTAGGTCTGTGGCCCAATGTTGATGAGGATGGCCAGCGGGATGACCAGAGCACCCACTGCCACGTCAGCCACAGCCAGCGACACGATGAAGCAGAAGGTGGCATCCCGCAGCGCCTGGTTCACCTTCACCGCCCAGATCACCAGCACGTTCCCGGGCACAGAAACCAGGGTGATGAGCACCTCGATGCTAATGTACGCGGCCTGGAAGGCCGAGATGGAGGGCGGCATGGCGGGCACAGGCTGGACACATCAGCAGGCAGGCACCGAGGGGCGTGAGGCAGGCACCTGTGGTCACGGAAGCCTGGGGTGGGGAGGCCCGCCTGGGAGGGGGAGGGGAGTCCAGGCAGCTCTGGGACTCCCGCTACCCTTTGAGCAGGGCCCCACTTGGCACAGCCAGTGCCTGCCCAGGCTGGAGGGGGTCCCTAGGTCCTTTCCCTGCCTAATCTCTGTCTCCTCCCGTCATTATCCCCAGAGGTTCCATTCAGCAACTTAAAATAGCATAGCTCACTCCTCCACCGGCTTTTTTAATCAGGTGTGAGGCAGCTCCCAGCATACACACACCTCGCAGGGGTCCCCGTGCCTGGCTCTGCCCACCCATGCCCACAGAGCAAGATGCAGGGAGCTCACCATCCTGCCTGTTGGCCGGCAGGGGGTCCCAGAGGCGGCACCCAAAGTTCTGGGCACCTGGAGCCGCCCAGAGCTCCGGAGCCGCGCTGGGCAGGGCTGGGTTCTGGGCACCGCTCGGCAGCTCATCGTCCTCCAGGCTCCCGCCGCGGCGCTCCCAGCCCGGCCTTTCAAGCAATCACATGGTGCAGCAGAGACTCAGCCCAGGACGCTTTTAAAGAGGTAGCGCCCCTGTTTCGCACCTGGGACTGGCGTGGCAGGCATGGGTTTGGGGCACTAAGCTCAGGACAAGGCTTGGGCGCGGACTCCCCAGACGCTAGCTAGTGCGCACACGTGCCTGCGCCCACCTACCTGAGACATTGCTGGTGCGTGGCTCCTAGCTGTCCCCCAGTCCCGCTCTAGCTCTGCCAGGGACCCTTGCTCACCGCCTGCCCCAAGGAGGGCATTCCAGTCGCTTCTTTCAACCCTCTCCTGCACCCCACTGGGGAGCCCCAGGGGAAAACCGAGGCACAGACTTACCCAAGGTCACCAAAGCCGGCAGAGCTCCTGGCTACCCGAGCTCTATTGCCCAAGTGTCCCGCAGCTCGACGCCTTCAGCAGCCGCTCGCTCTGGGGTGCCGGGAGAATCCAGGACCGGCTAGGGGGATGGTAGCTGGCTGGGACTTGGCTCCGGGCGCCGGCGCCTCGGTCGCCCCCGGCGCGGGAGCTGAGTGACAGACTCCGCACACCAGGAGGGGGCGGCGGGGGCGGCACCCGCGGGCCCCTCCCTTCTCGCCCTCCGTCTCCTGCCCCACCCCTCCTCTAAACAAAGGAAGTGATTCTGGGTGAAAAAAGCTGGGAAAATGCGAGCTCTCCGAAGTGTCTGGTGGATTGATCCAGCCTGGAATTAGATAGGTGCAGCCTCCCGGTGTCCACTCCCTCCTTTCTGGATGCGGGATGCCCCGGGAGCCCTGGCCCAGCTCCAGAGTCCCCTCCACTACTCACAGTGGCGCAGCATCTCACCCGCAGGGCTCCGAAATGCCTCCCTGGCTGACACTACCCCGCTAGTCCTGTCCTGTGCCCCCCTCTCCCGTTAAATCCAAAAACCCTGCACCAAGATGAACGCCGTCCCTGCATCTTCTCGGGAACTAACATCCCTGGAGCACACGGTAGTTTTTTAGGCTCTAGCTTGAGTCATTATACATATTCCTTTCTCATCCATCTTTCAGAGCTACCTTTTCCTCTATTAGCAATTTCCATTTTACAGATGCGGACACTGGACACTGAGGCCCAAAGAAGCGACCTAGCTTCCCAAGATGTTCTCTGTCAATGCCACCCGCTCTGTGCCCCTTTTCTTTCCCCCTTCTTCTTCTTCATAGCAAAGTACGGAAGCCATAAAGCATCTTGTCCAGTCCCTCATGGTATAGACAAAGAAGCAGACTCAGGGAAGCAAAGGACTTCCACAAGGTCACACAGCAAATTATAACGGAGCCAGAGTAAGAACCCCAAAAATCATCAGCGTGAGAACTCCTGACTCCCTGCACGGTGCTCCCCGCTCTGTGCCCCATCCGCCTCTTGGCTGCCCCCCCGCACAGGTGCAGTCTTAGTTTAGGTGTCTCCCAGATGCTGATCAGGACCACCCTGGGGGCAGACCCACCTGTTCTCAGAATGGATGCCTTGCAGGGAACCCAACCTGAGATATCCTTGTTCATGCGTATTGAGGAGTCCTGGGAGGGCAAAGAGCTGGGCTATGGGATCCACAGTGCCACCTGGGCATGCCCTGGCCTCTGGGGCAGTGCCACCTTGTTGGATCTCAAGATGCCAAGAGAGGGGTTCTACCACAACCTGAGTAGCTGGGGGCAGGAAGCAGGCTGAGTCTTCCTCGTTGAAGGAGGAAGCCCAGTGTGGGGAAAGATAACTTCCATTTCTGCCTTGAGGGGGAGCAAGGAATCTGTGCCTCACACTGTAAAACTGCAGTTCTTCCCTACAGCCATGATATTGGAGAAACCAGAAATTGTGGACTCTCCTTCCTCCTCCTTCTCCTCCACTTCCCCTGTGGACTGCCTCAGCCCTTCCAGCTGGCATCCCAGAATTCTGCCCACTCCTCGTGTGAACATGCAGGTCTTTGCATCCATCCCCCTGCCTCTCAGCCCTTTTCTTGGTTCAAGGCTTCCCATCGCCCCGGCCTCTCATGCTGCTGTTGTTTGGTGTTAGTTGAGTGGATTCCCTACTCAAAGGGACCCCACGTGAGCTCTTCCTAATATTCACCCAGCCCCCAACATCTCAGAATCACCCAGTTGTCAGAGCTTAGGGCAGGGGGTGGGTGAGTGAGGTCGCTCTATCTGACTTTCAGCAGCATCTTCAGCTCCAGAGGGTGCCTGAGCACCCCCCCATACACACACTCCCACCCAACTCCTCTTACCTAAGGGTTGTGGATATGTAATAGATATATTTGCATAATACTTATGGGTAATTTATTTGCCCCCCTCCTCCCCCCCCAAAAAAACCCAAACTCATTGCTGTAGAGTCGATTCTGACTCATAGTTCTGGGCAAAATAAGCAAAAACTCTCTTCCCTTCTCCCCTGCCTCCATGTCTGCCTATTCCCAGGGGCAGCCTCCCTGGGGAGCAGACCAGCAAGTGTGAGAATGAGCTGGCCAAAGCAGGGTCTTCCCAGGAAGCTGCTCTGGGAAAAGCACAGTCTCCGTGGAGCCTCTGGCCAGGAGTGTGGGTGCCAGGCGCTCCTGGGAAGCATGGCCGTCTGGTGGGGTGAAAAGAGCATTTGACTGCAAGTCAGAAGAGCTGGAAGCTGGCCTCGAGGCCCCACTCTACCATAAACTGGCTGTGTGGCCTCAGGCAAATCACTTTTCCTCCCCTGGCCTCAATTTACTCATCTGTAGACTTAGACAAATTATGTCTAATATCCTTTCTGCTTCCATAGCCAGTAAGTCCATCCCAAGATGGGAAAGATGCCCCAGGGCAGACAACATGGGGGCTGGTCCTAGAAACCTTCTAATCCAGGCTACCCCATACAGGGGCAGATACCAGGCCTGAGAGGAGGGGAGTTTGGGGGGAGGGGTTGAGGAGTTGAGGAAGAGAAGTCAGAGGTCTATACTGGGGAGACAACAATGTGGGAGAGTGTGGGTAGAACAGGTGGAAACATGGTATCCAGAATGTACACTCAGCCAAAACTATCCAGCTTTCCCAGTGTGTCCAGGATCCCCTGACCAGATGGCCCTCCCTACATCAGGGTCCATGCATCCTCTGCAGATATGTGACATGCTTACATGCCTCCTAACAGCTCAGAGAATGGCTGAGGATTGAAAAGAGCTGACTCACAGAGAGTCACGGGAAATTGTATCAAAAAGGCAAGCAGTTGGCGTATATTTTCACCACAATAAAAATAAATAAATAACGATACAGGCAGCACAAGGCAGGTAGACAGGTTAGGGGACTGCACAATTATGAAATCTGATCTGTCCAGCCAGTGAGACTAAAGTTGGCACCAAATCCCATGGGTACCTGGTTTAAGCACCTTAAAGATGCCCAGTGAAAAGCTTCTAGTTTGCATGTGACTTTGTGGACAAGTTAATATCACAGGAAGTACAAATACCTCCAGGGCCTGGTCCTCACCCCAACAACCCCTTTTCCTCTTGGCTGCTTCCTCCTTTCCTTCCAAAGCCCCTGTCCTTGGTGTCTGCACTGGCCCCTCACACCTGCATCTCTACTGCTGGCAGGGATGTATCGGGGGAGGAGAGGTTGAGGCTGAAGACTCCAGAGGGACCAGCCCGCTAAGCAACACTACCCCACACTTTGAGCACTACAAATTGCACTAAGCCCTCCAGGTCAGGAAGGGTCCCACCCTCAGGACGCAAGCAGGGATGGGGAGTGGCAAAGCTTGGCTCTGTCTCCAAGGCACCCTGCAGGGATGGATGAGGTTTTAGGATGCGCCTCTGCCCCTTTCCAGCTCATAGCGACCCTATAGGACAGAGTAGAACTGCCCCATAGAGTTTCCAAGGCTGTGAATCTTTACAGAAGCAGACTGCCACATCTCTCTCCCACAGAGCGGCTGGTGGGTTCGAATCGCCGATTTTTATGGTTAGCAGCCAAGCGCTTTAACCACTTTGCCACGGGAACTCCTTTTTTCCAGCAGACAGGAGGTTGTTTTGGTTCCTGGCCTGTTTGTTAGCATTGTTCTGGTCAGTGTGTGCAGGAGGAGGAGGTTCAGACGAAAAGATTTCTGAGAGGCAAGGAAGCCCCTGGCTTTCCCCGCAGCTGTCCACCTCCAGGCCACATCTGCCCTTCAGTGTCTTCCTTAAGGGGCTTCCAAATCCTTCCTTGAAGTCACTCCTCTTTTTCTCCACCCTCCTCCTAAGATTTGGAATGTAGGTCTCTCCCGTTCTCCCTTCCTCCTTTCTTCTCCCTTCCTCCTTTCTTCTCCCTTCTCCCTGGTCAGAGACTCCTATGGGGGAAGTACTGGGTCTATGGAAAGTTGTAGAATATCAATACAGGCTATTACCGTGTGTGTGTGTGTGTGTGTGTGTGTGTCTGTGTATGTGTGTCCATGTGGGGAGTTTGTGTGTATGTGTGTCTGTGTGTGTCCATTTGTGGGTGTTTGTGTGTGTGTCTGTGTGTGTCCATGTGTGTGTCCGTGTGTATGTCCATGTATGTGTGTTTATGTACGTGTCTGTGTGTGTGTGTCCGTGTGTGTCTATGTTTGTGTGTCCATGAGTGGGTGTTTGTGCGTGTGTATGTGTGTGTCTATGTGTATATGCGTGTGTCTGTGTGTGTGTCCATGTATGGGTGTTTGTGTGTGTGTGTGTGTCCATGTGTGTGTCTGCGTGGGTGTCTGTGTGTGTCTGTGCGTGAGGGGAGGTGTGGGATAGGTCAGGGTCATTTAGTCCGTGTTCCTCCAGACAGCACTGAACTGAGGTCTCCTTAGGGTTTGGCAGAGGGGCCTCAGGGCCTGGGGCCTCTAAGACTAGGAAGGAGGGCCACATCATGGGGCTCAGGAACCCAGCCCGGCTTTAGCCAGAGCAGCTGTGCTTTGATTTATTACATATATATGGGTTCCTGGTATAAGATTTTATTAGCACAATGGCTTTAAAAAGCTTGAAACTCTGAGCTCCAATCCAACCCTTCCATTGTACAGATAAGGAAACTGAGGCCCAGAGAGGAAATAAACTAGTCCCAATCCACTCAGGCATCGCGGGCAGAGCCTGGTGAGGGGAGGGGCCTGGAAGTGAGCCAGGCTCTGAGCCGTGGCCTTCCTATTCCTCGGGAAATCCCTTGAGTACCCTGCCATTTAAACTCAGGACTTGGTGAAGTGTTCTTGACTTTCACCCCTGCCCCCATCTCACAGGAAAGGGAGCAGGCTGCAAATACACTTAGGGGGAAATCAGGTGGACACAAATTTATGTAAGAATAAAAGCCCATCATAGCACTTTGGTGTTTATAAAGAAGTTCCCACTTACAGCATCCCATTTAATGCTCTCCACACACCGGGGCGGTAGCAAAGCTGATGTTATTAGTCCCTAATCAACGTGGAGCCGAGACTGAGAGAAGTTAAAGGGAAGCCGTGTGGCAGAGCTGAGACTGCCTGACACAGATGGATGTGTTTTACTCACTAAGTCGTGTGAGGGTCAGGGGAAGATTCGAATCACTGAGCCAGACTGGCCTGAAAGGGTCCCTGGAGGAGAATCTCAAGCATCCTCATTCATTCCTCTCTCCAACTGGTATTTCTTAAGG